CAGCCAAACTAAGCATCGTTTTCATATCTTTCACTTCATTTCAGCGTGAAACTTAACCTAACCGAACATTTCAGTGATTTCGTAAAAGTGCAATATATTTTACAATTTCTAACAATGCGAATGTCCAACCCACCTAATTGACCTGCACCTAATGTAAAGTATTAGTATTTTTACGCATTAAGGATGATTGCTAGTGAACGAATATTTGTATGGACTGCCAGATTTTAGGCAGGCCACGTTAATAACCAAATTTTCAGGAATCCTGTTCACAAGCAATCTAGGAATTTTGACGAATTACGATGTAATATGTATCCTATCTTAGACGATTTAAAAAAAATAAAATTTTAGGCCATTGATCAACTGTAGACTGATTCAATTTTAATTCCATGATTTATAAGATGGGAAAACTTTAACCACAATTTGCAAATGTTCACACAGCTGCGTAAAATTTGATGTGACTTTTTCTTTAAAACATTAGGAACATGAAAATAAAGACAAGTATCATGCAGCCGTAGGCTGTTTGAATTAATAACATCAAGATGGCTTTGGCGTGATACTGTGGCTGAAGCAAGTAAAAGGTTGTCATTCCAGAAGACGGCATCATTTTGCATACTTACTGTTCTCGGTACTTTGTCCCAGGTTTTCTTCAGTCGATACACTGCCGCATTGGTGAAGGCAGCACAGATTTGCAGCACTCCATTAAAGTTGTGCAAACAACGACAGATGTCCGCAACGGCGGTCCACTTCTCGATGGCAGCTACCCGCGCCGCCATGTTGCTCCTGAGTGGGGGACAACAACATTGAATGAAAATCGAATCAAAGCTGGAAAACCGTTCGGTCGGAAGTAATCATCCATTCCCCCCTTTCCACCATACCCACCTCGATACGATCTCCGAGCACACCAGTCGAGAGCCATCGTTGAATCGTTTTGTCATAAGAATGATATGTTCTGCACGTGACTTCTTGTCAGATTTCATCCACGCCTGACCGAGAAATTCCCTAATTAAGGCAGAAGAGTTTAATTAAATTTACTGTCGGAAAATGTTCCTCGGATATCGATTGTGTGACATACTCGCTTCGAATAGCCAGAAATATTTGATGATCCAGGTACGTCATTTGTTCCGCAATTTCCAGCGCTGAAAGAGTCTCTATACTTTCCTTGCTTGGTGTCTGTCGGAAGATAGAAAACATTGTTTGAGCAGCATATTTGTCAGTGAAATATTTTAGACCACAACACAACAGCAATTACTCCAATTGATCAACTCAGTCGCAGAACATAAGTTACCTGTGGTGGCATCAACAGCTTATCAAGGTGGTGTTTCCCGCTGTCGATGTCATCACGACACAGCAGTCGTAACAGTTGGGATGCAGCTCTATGCTCGGTTGGCAATAAGTTTGGACTGCACGTAATGTCGTCCAGGAATGCTATCGTCTGTGAGCGCAAAGCTGCGTCCTGCTCAAAGTCCTGGAAGTGCTTGGACACCCAGTGCCGCAGGACGTTGAGCACGCGCATCGTAGCCGGTGAACTGACAACAGATTCTTTTCGGTTCCTAGCTTCCACTTCGGGGGGCTCGTCCCTAGGATTGCTGGAAGCTGAGGTAGCGATTGCGAAAGCCGCTGCTGCCGTTGAAGTGCTACTCCTGACGGGCCGGTGCAAGCGTTTTATTGAATTTTGATTATCGCATTTACGATTTAGCATAGTCGATAGTGTTTTGTTTGATTCATTCGAAATGGAATCCGAAATGACAGACGAAGAGAAGAATGAAAATAAATCAATCCATCGCATCAGACCATTGAAACCCGATAGGTGAACCAAAACCACTTCATCATCATCTTGGTCAAAAGAATGTAGTAGACGGGAAAAGTGTAATGAAACTTAAAGATTGAAGGTGTGAAAAAGACATTCATCCACAAACACACAACGATACTGGAATCAAACACATTGCGGCAGTATACATCTTTATTCACATTTCATTCAGGCATTGTAGCGGTATAACAGTTACAAACCACAACTTAGGTAAATTCATTGTCACAAATTCACACGCTTCAATCCCACAAAAACATCGGTAAGATTAAAGGGCCCTGTTTCTCGGAAGATTGAACAAAATTTCGGAATTTGGGATTTTAAAATTTTCAAGACGCTTAAAACTGATAAAATTCAAACACTAAAAATTTGTACAGCTTGAGAAAAGTATCAAGACTATATCATTGTAAATATTTCGGTTTTAGCAGTCAGTTTTCATAAGATTTTTAGAAGCAAAGTTTATGCATTAGAGTGGGTCATCGTTATATGGAAAAACGCAAACTTTACCTCACTAATCGAGAACAACCCTTTTTTGGTTCCATTTGGAGTCCAAACAACTGTTAAAAATTTGGGGACAATTGGTTGTAACTCGGTTTTCCGCATTGCGTTTGAAATTTGTATGGAAATTAGTATGGGAAAACCAATTTTTTTGCATTGTTATCTCTAAAGACCACAATTTTGCATGAACCGTGCAACTAAGTATGTACAAATATAGTCCAGGAAGTGCCTAATAACTTTTCCAAAGGAAGTACGCGGTGATAGAATGTATCTACAAAAAGTTATAACTATTCAAATATTTATGGTTTGAATTAAACACCAAAAATCCCTTTTTCTGCCAACACTGCCGGTGTACCAATGGGAGTCAGATTCCAAACTGAAATAATATCGGAGTTGCTTATCTTTCCGATTTGGTATGTTCAGATGAATTATTCAAAAACAATTGCTATATTTCATATGTGTAATTGGAGAGAGGGGGTTAATAATATACCGCATCCCCTCACTCATATCAATTGTTTCAGTTTGAAATAACTTCGGAGTTTCTTATCTTATCGATTTGGTATGTTCAGGATGAAGTATTAAAAAAAAAACGCTCAATCTCATACGCGTTGTTAGAGAGCGGGGGAGGGGGGAGGGATTACTATATGCAGTTTTTAAAACGAAAATTGTTGTAGTGCAAATATTTAATATCCACTTGTCCGTTCATTTGTTAGTAAGAAAATGTTGTTTGAATTATTAGCCGCTGGAAAATTTTAAATTTCTATACAAAGCTTTTATTTGAAATATTTAACTGCCATTCGGGCCACCCGCATATAGAAAACACAGAAGTAGTCGTACGTCTAGAACCAAAAACAAGAGAAAACGAAAACTGTCTCCACCAGTTTCGTCTCAGACACAGGTACAGTCGGATTTCGCTTGTTGGGCTAACTTTAAGTGGGCTAAGTTTCAGCTGGGCTCCCAAGCCAAACGTCACTTCTAACAGTGCACAGTGGTCCAGAATGCAGATTTAGGTGGAATGATATGTTTTGAGCCTGAAATTGGAGCTTTAGACTAAAAGTCTCTTCTACAAAGTTGTTCCTTATAGTTAGGCCCTCATTTTTATAAATATGAATTCTAGGGTGGTTCCTATTATCATTAAAATCAAAATTTCTAACTTTTTTGTTTGAATAAATTAAGGTATACATTCTTCCGCAAAGTTATAGCTGAGCTAATTTCAAGCAACTTTGTTCATTGCAACTTTTTTGTATCTCTTAAATTGGCCGATTTAGAGCTATTTTCTTAAATTGAGTTAGGGTGGCTCTTAAAAAAACAGTTTTTTTGCTCTATTTTTCTTATTTCGAATCTGGTTGGGGCAAACAAAAAAAAAGTTTTTTTGCAGCATTTGAAAGGGCGTATGTTATTCTCAATAATATGAAAAAATTGGAGGTATGTTATTTTTTAAACTCGTATAAAATCAATTTGAATTTATTCATATTTTTTACTATATTTAAGTATAACTTTTTAATTATAAGAGATACAGGCAATAAATCCAGCTATAAAACATTCGTCTTAAAGAGTTTTAAAAGTCTCTAGAAGATGACTTTCATGATAAATTTCAAATAAAAAAGTTATTGGCAAAATATGGATTTCATAGGACCACTCTAATGACAAATTTATATAAAATGTGCTAGTACATTTGTTTCAATATTTGGACATTTAGTGTCTTCGAAGAAGTTTTTGTTCTTAAAAATTCCCTTCTTTTGGTGTTTGCAAACGTCAGGGTGGTCCTCAAATTAGGGAATTTTTAAAACTAACTTTTTTGTTTTACAAAATATAAACATGTGTTGTTCAAAAAACTTGTAGTTAAGTTACTTGCAAGCAACTTTGTCTAAGAAAATTTTTTTCTATCTCTTAACGTTCTCATTTTAGAGTAATTTTTCGGAGTTGACTTAGGGTGTTCCTGGAAAAAATAGTTTTTTAGCAATAACTTTTTTATTTGAAAATTCTCATGAAAGTTATCTTCTAAAGACTTTTAAAACTCTTTAAGACAAATGTTTTATACCTGAATTTGTTGCCTGTATGTCTTCTAATAAAAAAGACATATCCAAATATGTATGTATGTATGTAAGGTAGCCACCATCCTTTCAAGACTTGTCTTGGATGCAGCTCCACTTAATAGCAAGATCAATTTGAGCTACCGATCTGAATTCACTATATCGCTGTATGAAGGGCCAAAAACGGAGGGGTGGACCCGTAAGCAGAGACACTTACGCGAAATCCACGGGAATTTAAGAATCTCCTTCCAACGATACGCTCCAACAAATCGAATAACACAATTCGCAATACTTATTAAGCTTCCTACTGGATGGTTTGTTAAGAAGGGCGCGTCAATCGCCCTGAAACTGATGGAGTAGAATTCACACCACCATAATCGAATCGGTAGGATAAAGAAAATGATAGTGTTTATTCCCTCCTAGACTTCGGCTGTCAATCATACCATCGTCCAGCTTCAGTTTGAATGATACCCTGATGCTCCCTCCCAACCCAGTATTTATTTATATAATGAAAATATATGCAATGGAGAAATGAAATATATCAGAACATTAAAATATGACATAATGAATTTCATTTATATGGATAATATAGTTGCTACTGCAATGAAGAAGTATTTTACATATAATAAGATGCAGCTCTACACCTCCTCAGCTCACAACAGGTGGATGCAACACTGAAATGTATAGGATAAATATATTTTGCTCGAATGATACTAACTATAATGCTAAAAATTGTGATGAATAACTAACATGACGAGAAATAACCTGCTTAATAATTATAAACATATAATATTATTTAATGTTTCTGCTTCATCAGCTTCATATTAATTTCGATGACTTGCTTGGGTAAACTGAAATAGTAAGCTAAAGGTAATAGTATATCATGCAATGTATAATTTATATAATATATGTAATGAAATCCAAAATGTATGTATGTATGCAGGTATTTCCTTAAAACACAGAAAATATAACAAAATACCAGTGGCGTCCCGTAACCTCACTATTTACCTTTGCACCAACTTTCAAAACCAGATTTAATGCCATATTCATATTCGAATCGGTTGAAAATACACTCAATCTTCTAGTTTACTCGATATCTATCTATTGCAAGCAATATATTGATTATTATTTATGTTTTGAGAGTTGGTGCACAGGTAGATCGAGGTTAAGGAAACGCCACTGGAAAATACAGAAAACCTCGATTTTAGTCACTCAAATTCTTTACACTCAAGCTATATATGAATATTTTAATTGCATGGTATGATTGAACTCAACTTTGCCAAATTAATGAATCCACAATTTAAGTTAAGAATCAATTTGCTAAATAATCGAGGTTGTTTGAGCTACAAGAGTTATAAAAATAAGCATCAATGATTAATTCTTGAAATAGCAAAACTCTGCAAAGGTAAAACAATTTAATAACATATGGTGATATTCAATTTATTCTCTGGGTAATCAAAATTCTGAAAACCATAGATATCATATTATATTATTATAAAATAAATGTAAATAACAATGATTTGATAATTGATACACCTTCTGTAAATGAAAATTATAGTTACAATGATATAATGAGATTTTAAATATGTGAAATAAAAATTTTACTAGTCATGCAATATATAAAATATAATGAATGTAAAACAAACAAGTACCGTAAAACAATGAATGTTTTTCAAATTTTATATTTTTAAAACAAGTTCTGAGGATCCAAGAGTTAATTCGTTAGTAATATGTTGAACGAAAATTAAAGCATTTGCACTATTTTTTTTAGTTTTGTGACCTAACTTCTGCATTTTGATTTGGGGTTAGTGAAACTCAAACAATTTAGTTCTTTAAATATGAAACTTTGAATGAGTATATAATCAGAAAACTTTAAAAGCAATAATAATTCAACATTGAATTTGTGATGGCTGCATCGGAAAAACATTTCATAAGTGATGGTTTGCGTGCTTTTTCAAAAGCGCGAAAAACACGAAAATGGTTTTTTAATATTTTTTTAAAATATGTAACACATACTATGTAAAACTATATACAATATCAACGGAAATATCCTAAGCTACAATATGGAATCAATGTTTCTTATTTGGAAAATGCACAGCGAGTAAATTTATTCTTTATATTATACTATCAAAGTTAACCACATTATCAAAGATACCTCGTTTTACGGTACTACAAAATACAAATAAGCTCGATTTTAGTTAACCTCCGTACATTTAACTGATTTATTCGATATTTTATTGGAATTGAAACAATATCTTTATAATGCACCATGGAATCTTTAAACGCAATATGGAATGCTTTTATA